CGACCTAACTCAGGGCAAGCATTATAAGTAGCAAAATGGTTGCCACTGCAATTAATGCAATGTGCAACTTCTGCGGTTACTACACATCCATCACCAGGATGATCCTGACCACATCTAAAGCAACGTGGCTTGGAGCGGCATAGAGTACGGGTGTGCCCGAAACGACAACAGTTGAAACACTGTATTGTAGGGTATGTATATTGTTCTACGGGGAGCGCCGAGTAAAAACAAAAAACTTTCTTTGGAAGAATTTGCCCATCAAAAGTGAGAACCACAGTTTGGGTAGACTTCCATTCCGTATCATTTTCTGATGACACTTTACGGTTCATCCTTCTTGCTTTTATAGGAATACCACATCCAGCGGGAACTTTGATGTTTCTAATTATTTCATCCTCTGTCCACTCAATGGGAACATCCCTCACAATACCCATTCTTGTGATGTTGTATTGAGGGATTGAGGTGACATAACTTTGTGCTACCACACAGTTAACCAGGAAACTGTTAGCATCTTGGTGAGAGACAAACTCGACCGACACTCTATTCCTACCGAGTTGCTTCACTCCTCCAATTTTAATATTATTTATGTTATTCTTTGTCAAGAACATGCCGAATTTAATTGGATGGAGAGTAGTGCCAGTCGTCTCGGAGTCCTTAAGAGAGACATGAATGATATAAGGGGGGTTGTCCTTAGCCGTATAGCACTGCCTACCATTGATGTTTTTTGCTAACTTCGGAGGGTTGACGCGGGAGATAATGGGGGAGCCTGCAGGTCGTTCTCTATTAAGGTTAGATTCGGAGTCCATTAAGTCATTATCCTGGTGGTTGTGGGGAAGGGAAACACATAAAACGGGATTATAATCCGATTTGTCGGGAGGATCAAGGGGCCTCTCCTCGTCCATTGTTAAAAAAAACTTAAAGAAGGTGGGAAGAGAGAACAAGTGTTAAAACTTAAGACTACACAATACCTTATTAAAACTTACACACACAAATAAACAACACACAAAATAAAACGTTTCAATTTAGTTCACTATGAATAAGATCACTAAAATTGACAACAATCGTAGCACCGATAAAAGCACGTGCGTAACCTTCACCACTACCAACGAAAGTCCCCTACTCCAGTATTATTAGCAAGGTTAACAAAGACACGCTGTCAAAAGTGTCAAACACGTTCCGTTTCGTTTAAGTTTTTTTTTTTTGGTGAATTGGATAAAAATAAAACATAACATTACTAAAATATGAGTATATTTTAAAATGCAACTAAAACCAATGAATACAGTTTCGTATGAATAAAATGTTCCTAGTGTAATGCATTTGTCGATCATATCACACGTTTTCTACGAGTGTAGTTTAAGACACGTGGTTTGGAATTGGAACGTCTTTTTATTTATCTTTCTCTATGGGCTATTATGGTGAAACTTGACAAACGAAGTTGATTTTGTTGCATTACTTTTACATTTTTTTAATAATAATTGTCAGGTCTGGAGAGGCTAAAAACTACGTAATAATTCATATTTCTATTTGTATTTTACAGTGTATTAATTTTGTTCGTGTACGTGGAATGTACTTTTTTGGCCATGTCCTTTGCCCAAAATTTGATGCTGTGATTATAGCTTTTTCCGTAATTCCAACCATTCACTGCTATCTCGTTGCAAAACTGTAGCCCTTTCGATAGCCTGCCTATCAGAAGCAAGCATTCTTAAATAATGTAAGAACTCTACTTCAGCTTTTTTCAGTTCATGTGGAGACATATTTGGTGCTGTGCTCGCTAATGTCATGTTGCTTTTGATTGCCGTCTTTTAATTTCCGTACTTTTTTTACGGGATGCCCGAAGTTTGGGTTTCGTTTCTGAGCTCTCCGTCTTTCAATGATTTTGGCCCTGCCTTTAGGACTTTTGTTTAAAAAAGCTTTTTGAACAAAAGTCCTAAAGGCTGAAAGAACAGCTGCTGAACACCGCCCTTAATAACCTCCTTTTAATGAAAAGTTTATTCGTTTTCCACCAATGAATTTAGCGATGACACTATTAAAACAGTCAACAGAGTTTGTGTCAACGTCTTCGATTAAGCTGCGTGATTTTGCAGCAATAGGTACTTGAAATTTCAATATAGTATAATGTACTCTGTGACTTGAAACAATCGCGTTTATTCGGAAAATGAAAGTGGAATTCTGGGTCTTTTTAAATTCTTCGTTGTCATTTCTATCTTTATTGCAATAATATTCTTGGCGCATTCTATGGTCGCCGAAAGCATGAGCTACACAGATGAACGTACGGCTACCGTATGAAGATTTGATATTGCTACATTGCGAGGACTTTCAGAGGTTTCGTGAACTCTAATACACTGTACTATCAATTTCCGCATAGTCAAAATTTTGACATTATTGAGCATTTTACGATGCACACTTCAACATACTTTGTGTCTGTAATCAGAATACAGAAGTTTGTAGTTCTGATATTTTTGTGCAGTGGCTTACCATTCGACAGGCAGGATACCGAACGAAAAGACAAAATATGAATTAAGATTTAATTATGCAAAATTCTAGCGATCATCGGTACTCATAAACTATACTATCGATATTCATAAACTATACTACAATAATCATAATTTTTGCATTTACCAATCAGAGGCTAAATAAAATAAAATTTAATTTTGCGACCAAATTACATTGCAATACAAATAAAATGTTTACGTAAATGAGTACTTCTTTACATATCTTTGGAGTGCATTTTTTCTGTGTCTTTTATTACTTTACGCGATTATTATATACTATTATTATTACCCATCATGATTTATAACTACAAAGCAATAAATTTTTAAAAAGAGATGATTTGGTTCGTGTAATTGTCGCTGAAGAAACTGACACAGGTCCGTCGTCGACAAGCGCCAGGACGCGACTAATCGGACATGTCTGAGCCGCCGCGACCGCTTTTAATTCTTAATGAAACTTAGTAATTAAGAAAATTATTTTATCAATTTTAACTCTGCAAATTTGTCTGCAACTAATAAGTTTCCTTATTACAAAAATTTAATGTAAAAATTAGTAAAATGGTCGTAATATTGAAAAAACGTTTTAAAAAGGGGTAACTTTGCGATTTTTTTCTATCGAGTGTAGTTCATCGGGTCTTTCGGGATAAGATCCTCAACTAAAACATATATTTTTTTTTGTAATTAAAAACAATGTAGTTTTTGTCTCTCAGATTGTTTTAAAAAACGTAAATTTGGGCCCACCTCGCCTTAACCTCTGGACCACCACGACATAACGTTCTGTGTCTCTTCCTGTTTAGAAACCAGTTAGGGCATTAAAAAGCGTTATCCTTATTTAAAAATCTTCAAATTGTCTACATAAGGCTATGAGCTCACACTAGTAATTTAAAAACCCTTATAATTTTAGCGCACTTGCTTCGCTAGTGCGTTGCATAATTAAACAGCCTATGTACACAGTGTAATGCATAGTAAATTGGTGCTAATTACTTTTTCGTTAGAGCATACAATGTTTTGAGAGTTGAACTGAGGATTTTGTGCTTATATTTTCATTACTGACTTTGTATTTTATTCATTAGGTATTTTGCAACTTGATGTGTTCATCGCGCCTGTTTTACTCTGAAGGGGGTAGGCAAAGGCATTCGCATTATGTCCGCTATTTATATTACCAATTAACGAGACCTTTTTTTGTGAGAGGGAAATCATCAAAATGTGTTCTTCCTTTTGAATCAGGTTAATAAACAAGATTTCTGACACAACTTAAACGTTTTATGTTAATAAAAGTTATAAGAAAAATTTTACAACGCCATGAAAGTCGCCGTATTCAGAATGTACACACAATGCCGCCACCTAGCGTTACAATGGAAAAATAAAGACAAGGAAAGATAAACAAAACAACCCCCTTTTATAAAATTTCATCCAATACTTCCATCCAGGGTTGGGCGTGCCAGACTCTTACTGACTAAAAACCCCCCTGTTCCTTCTTCTGCTCTATACCGAGGTCGCCGTGCCTCATTGCGCTTACCCCGCAATCCTGGCTGAACATCAGCCCTATAGGGCCCCGTCTGTAGTGGTCTATTGGCTCAATGAGGCGCGCGCGGGACGCTACGCGCCGCGCTGTACGCTCGGGTCTGGTTCTGGTAGGGCGGCGACCTACCCTTACTCGCCGTCCGCTGACCCGCGCTTACGGTGTCCGGAGATCGTTTTTCGGTTAGTGAGATCTACTCGTAGCACCTACATTATTCAGATTTATTGTCCAACGTTTTTACAGCGCTGGCATTAAAAAGTTTTCGATTTTAATTTTAATCCAATGGTGATAGTTTATTTTATTGGCATAATAGTTTTTGAGTTTATTCATCAGAAACGTACAAAGAAAATATGTTTTTTAGTTTTCTTCTTTAAAATATTATTTATTTTTATGATTATGATTACCTTGTGGTATGCAATCGGCACCACACATGGACACCGACAACACCAGAGGAGGTACGATAGCGTTGCCGGCTTTTTGTGGATGAGGGTTTCGGAGATCTATAAGAGAAAAGGATTGGGCCTCGGATGACACTCCCTTACGCCTCACCCGAGGCGAGAAAAAAAATATAAAGACTATACTCGTATGTCTCAAAAAAAGAGAAAAACTCCTTTGCTAAGCTTACACTACCTTGAGTTGATAATGATGATGGTTGATACCTGCTAATTTTAGGTAATTGATTCTCCCTTAATACCTGATTAATCTATACACTAATAATTTTTGTTTCAGTAATTTTAATGTGGGAGAGCCAAGCTACGGCACGAATGGGTCGGCTAACAGCGTAAGGTTTCACCGTGTGAGTGAGGTTACCGGAGGCTTAATCCTTCCTCTCCCTCAATCCCTAAATCTACAAGTCCCTAATCCCCAAGAGGTCGGCAACGCACTCGTAACTCCTCTGTTGTATCAGCTAATACGTCCTCACGTTTGCCAACCTATCATAATAAAAAAGAAAATTCCTTTAGGTACACCATAAAAAAATGTCAGTTTGAAAAATGAAGTTTAACTGCGTGGTTGTGTTTAGGTAAGTAAAAAAATAATTATTTTCTTCTTACTTATAACTGTTTATCGTGCCTCGAATAATTTATGGTTACGACTGTTGTAAAATTGTAGATTTTTAATCTAACCTTTAAAAGCAAAATATTCATGTGCATGTATATGCCATTATTGAGAAAAGGCATGTTTTAATGCGAAAAGGGAATGAGAGTCAATGCCATGTTTGTTTTAATTCTTTTGTAGTCATAATAATTGACATTTTCCAGTGTCTTTGTCAGGGTGTCGAGCGGTGAGAACTGGACGTTTCCATCCTGGTTCATGTTCGGGGCTGCCACATCAGCATATCAAATAGAAGGGGCCTGGAATTTCGGGGGTAAGATTATTGATTACAATTGTAAACTACCATTAAATAAAAAAAAACCCCAGCTGTTTTTTATGGGTGAGGACAGTAAATAAATAGGCTGAACACCTGATGGTAAGCAATCATCGGTCCTATGGACAGTCCCAACATCAGAGGCGTTACTTGCGTAGCGTTGCCAGCATTTGGGGGTTAGGAATTGAAGATGGTGTGACCCCAAGTCTCTCCGATTCCTCCAGAATTTTGTAGAGGGAGTTAGGTTACTGCTGTGCTGTGGGCGACACCTACCAGTGCAGTGGTGTGGCCCAGCCACAGCTTGGCACACCACTGAACTGTGCCCCAACTGGGTAGAGGCAAATAGAGACGTCTTCTTTCTGCCGAATCTGGTAACCCGGTTTATTGAATGCCGGTAATAATAGGCAGCGAGGCCGACTAGGAAGTAGGTTCCTTGCCTAATATCGCAGAAGAAGGAGGCGGCGGAGCGGGTCCATTAGGCGTCTTGCGGATCCAATTCGTCGTCGGTGGGAGGCAGATATCGGAGATATTACGCCACCCAGATACCGCCCTTGCTAGCAAAAGCCAGTAATAAGTAGTTACTACAGCACGATCTGGTGCTGAGATAGAACGCCCGTAGATGGAAGCGACTATCCACTGCAGAGATCTGATCGCAAATGTCGTTTTGTGATCTCTAGACAGGTGCTCGTAGCTCCTTCCAAAAGGTCGGCAAGCTGAGTTTTAATGTGAAGTGAATTTTCATATAACCTCATCGTGTCATGCGCGGTGCGTGAATGCAATAGGCATATTGCCCCAAGAAAAATTTGGATTGTCGCGGTCTTACGCACACTTGCGAGAGCTGTACAAATATTTAAACACACTAAACAAACTCTTATTTCCCTTCAGATAAGAGCGAAAGTATTTGGGATAGACTGTTGCACACCTATCCTTCGATTGTGTTCGACAAGTCCAATGGAGATGAAGCGTGCTTTTCTGCTGATTTCTGGACAAGAGATATCGAGATAGCTCACGAGCTGGGTCTTCAAATGTACAGGTTAGTTTGCAGTAGTAGGTACTCAAGCACTTGTAAGGGGTGTAGTTATTGCGGGGTAAGCGTAATGTGGCACCGAGGTCTCGGCCCAGAGTAGGAGAAGGAAGGGGGCGGTTTTTAGTCAGTAAGAGTCTGACACTCTCTCTTACCTTACTCTGGGTGGGAGAAGTCATTTGATGATTTTCCCCTGAATACTCAGATACTTACAAAGTAATAACTATTGTACTTGGATACTGTCTAAAAAGTTTAGACACCATTTTACGTCGTGGTGGACCGGAGGGTAAGCGCCCGCTTCTCATACATTAGGACTTTTTCCAAATTATATGTTTCTATGTGTTTCCAAATTATATGTACTTTCTATGAGTATTTAGATAACACTGGCATAATACGGTGAAGTTTCGACTTAAAATTTCTAATAATAATTTTGAAATCGGCAATTCGCCTTGAGCAAGTGTGGTAATTAATGTTCGAACCTTCGCCATTTGGGAATAGGCCTTTGCTCAGCAGTGGGCCTTATAGGTTAATGAGAACTATTTTAAGTGTTGAAGAGACATATACAAATGGGCAAGAGCGACCAGAGGGATACTACGACTTTACAGAAATCCTGCTTGAAACAAAAAGCTGGCGTTCTGGCGTGTGGGTGAAGTTATTACCATGAAAAGAATGTTATTATTTCTACCTAATTTTCAACACGTAGATTCTCAATATCCTGGCCTCGTGTGCTTCCAACTGGGTTCCCGAACAAAATCAGCCAATACGGCAAGAGTTACTATAGCAAACTTATCGATGGTCTACTGAAGAAAGGGATCCAGCCTGTTGTTACCATGTACCATTGGGATTTGCCACAGTCTTTGCAAGATCTTGGTAATCTGTTGTTTGTATGTTTTAAGATTTTTTTACCCTGGCGCTGCTGGTGAAGCTGTCCATATGGTATTTCAGATTAAAATATACCTCTTTGCTGAATTTTATTTGGCTCTGTTCAGTACTTTTTACTTATAAGAGTAATAAACAATCATCCATACTCACATGCTTAAGCGTTTACAATATTATTAGGAAGTAGGCTAACCCTTACATAATAAATATGTTATAGTTTCTTCGAGTCCTCTATCGTGATTTCTTGATAAACCGGAACGTTTCAAAATGCGATCCGATGCAACCCGACTCCTAAGCACGGATAAGATCATGAAAAAACCTCTTTTGGAGAGGCCTAATAGACCATAGTTCAGTATTGGACATCTATGTTATACTAAATCTCAAGAACTTGACTCTTTGGAAAATATTAAGCATGGTTATTTATAATTTCAATTAAAATTATCGTTCCGTGTCTTATCTGAAATCTCGCATCGTCCTTCGAATAACCAATGTTACCAAACATGACATGTTTACCAACGTAAACATGTCCGCTAGTGTTGCCACTAGACTAAGCTAGAGACGTTCATTTAGTTGATTTTAATCGTCTAACTAAACAAACCTTCTTTAGGTGGTTGGACGAATCCGTTAATCGCTACATGGTTTGCGGACTATGCAAGAGTTTTATATTCCTTATTTGGCGACCGTGTGAAGTACTGGATCACTATAAACGAACCGCTCACGATCTGTGACGGTGGATACAATAAGATGGCCGCTCCTTTCTTGAACGACATGAAGATAAGCAACTATTTGTGCAGTAAACACGTGCTGTTGGCTCATGCGAAGGCTTTTAGAATATACGATGAGGAATTTAGGAAGGCGCAAAGAGGTGGGTAATTTTTTTATATATTGTAGAGAAGGGAGTACTTAATATCTACCTATATATAGTGGATGACTAGTAATTAAATTTAATAGACATTCCCTTGTAATGCTTGAAACTCCCACTTGTTATTTTAACTTTTTTTAACTAGCTATGTACGCATGTAGTAAGGTCGTGGTGGCCCGGAGGTTAAGGAGCCCGCTTCTCATGCATGAGGGTTCGAAACCTAGCAAGTACCAATGTGACTTTTTCCGAGTCATATGTACTTTCTATGATTATTTAGACACCACTGACATACGGTGAAGGTAAACATCGTGAGGAAGCGTGGTGATTAATGCTCAAGCCTTCTCCATGTGAGAAGAGGCCTTTGCCCAGCACTTATAGGCTGATGATGATGCTGATGAAATTGTCTTTGACAGACGCCTGTGAATCTACTAGTTCTTAGTTTTGCGAGTGTATCTGGCACTTATAGGCTGATGATGATGATGATTATGATGTACGCATGTTCGCGTGTTTGTGAAGTTTTTTTTTATGTAATAGATCGGCAAACGAGCAGACGGATTACCTGATGGTAAGCAATCAGCGCCGCCCATGGACACCCGTAACGGAGGAGTTACGAGTGCGTTGCCGACCTTTTAGGGATTAGGGATTTGGAGATTTAGGAACTGGGGAGGGATTAGGAAGGGGAAGGATTGGGCCTCCGGTAACCTCACTCACACGGCGTAACACAACACTGTGGTTGTTTCACGCCGGTTTTATGTGAGGCCGTGGTATCACTCCGGTCGAGCCGACCCATTCGTGCCGAAGCATGGCTCCCCCACACTTGTGGATTAGGTTCTAAAATTTAACTACGCTAGATTCGGAAATTTGTGCCAAAGCATGGCCATCATCATCTTCCAAACTTGTTTAAGTATTTGAAAAAAAAAAAATGTCCGTGTTTGTCTTATGTTTTCAGGAAAGATTTCATTGGCAAATATTTTCTTCTGGTTCGAGCCTGAGAATGCCATAAAAGACACAAAAGCTACGCAACTCACAATGCAACTCTGGGTTAGTAGAATCATTGATATTAAGTTTCGGAAGAAAAATTTAGAAATCTGTAAAACTTGGTTGAGAAAGACATTTAGAGTCATTTGCGACAATAATAGTCGCAACGAAAATTGATACCGCTTTTGGTCTTTAAGGCCGGCAATATATATTAAATTCTCAAAGTGGTTATCTATTTTTACCATTCCAGGAGGGTCGTTTCGGTCACCCAGTCTATTCGAAATCGGGAGGTTGGCCACCAGAACTGGAAAAACATATGGCTGTACTCAGCGCTAAGGAAGGGTATAGACAGTCCAGACTCCCCCCTTTTACACCAGAAGAAATAAATCTTATCAAAGGTGAAGATAATTATTTATTTTTAATGTTAAAGATCAATGCGGTGGTCTTGATTAAGTACCGACTGTTCTGCGGACGGCGAGCAAAAGCCGCCCTCCAGAAGTACATCCGAAAGTACGGTGCGTTGCGTTCGTGCCCACCAAAGCCAATGTTCGGTCAAGGTTTTATGGGGGGTTGTTGGTCAAACGAAATGACATGTCACTGCCCGGATTGAAGCACCCAAATGTTTCTTTATTTATCCAACATTACATATGCACGATTTGATTGAATTGGTGCGGTGGCTGGGCAACTGGCTGCCATGCAACGTGTCGCGGTTTCGATTCCCGAACGGAACAACTCTTTGTGTGACCCACAAATTGTTGTTCCGGGTCTGGGTGTCATGTGCTTGTGAAATTGTATGTTTGTAACCGCACCCACGACACAGAAAAAATTTCTAGTGCGGGGCACCGTTAAAAAAAATATGGCAATGTACTCGCAACGCTCAAAGTCGACAAAAGTGGAAAGACATCGCTCAACGTGCTGCTCTTGAAATGATGGACAACGGTATGGCCCAACCCATCCATCTACAGCCACGACCACTCTGCCAAGAGTGTAACGACTCAGAAGAAGACATATGGCACAGATACAGAAAGACAAACACAAACTGTCGTCAGCGGTATTTCTGAATCGATACGATGGAAACAGCGGACGACGCCGCTGTGACTCTCTTGGTTATTTGGTAATGCGGGTGTCGATTGGCCGTACTGATTGCCCACCATCAGGTTATCGGTCAGCTGGTTTCAAAGAATGGATTACTGATGAAGATTTCTAAATTGACAAAATTGTTTCAGGCACTTACGACTTCTATGCATTGAACCACTATACCACCCGTTTAGTTCGTGCAGTTCCTCCGAAGGTGGCTGATCCCTGGCCGTACTACGGGTCCAAGGAGTTAGGAGTCTCATTCGTTAACCATCCCAGTAGGAGAACGATCGTCATTGACTGGTTTGCGGCAAGATACTTTTGATTCAATTTTGTTTGTTTTTTGTCAGGGGAAAATCATCAAATGACTTTTCCCGCCCAGGGAAAGGCGAAGGAGAGTGTCAGACTCTTAATGACTAAAAACCCCCTGTTCCTTCTTCTAGGCCGAGGCCGCGGTGCTACATTGCGCCTACCCTGCAACCCCGGCTGAACATCAGCCCATTTAATTTTGTTTAACATCTACTTTAACTAGTTCTTTTCGTATACCGGTGATATGAAGGACGATCCTACGTAGCACCTGATGACCAGCGATCGACCATCTCATGGTGAGCGATTGCAGTTGTAGCTTAAGGAGTTGCAATTAACCTTGAGATTTGGTGGTTTTGGGGACTTGGGAATTACATTAGGGAGGGGGAGGGAGTGGAGGAGAAGTATTGGTTATGTTTTAAGTACATACCATGCAATGTATCAATTAGTGCATGCAAATAGCGTCCCTGGAGGACTGATAGGCTGACTGCAACTTTGTATTTGAAAAGAATTTTATCTTGCCTGTAACGTAACGTTTAATTCAAAAAAACATATATCTGCTGTACCCTCTCTTACTTGGTAAAATGCAAACAATCTTTGTTACAAGACATTAAATTGGACCGATCATAAAATAATCATAGTATATATTTTTACAGGTTCCAAGTATACCCTGAAGGTCTTCGGAAGCAGCTGCATTGGATTAAAGACAACTACGAGGTCAAAGACATCATGATCACAGAGAATGGGCTCCCATCTCTTAGAGATACTCACACTGATTACGATAGATTAGACTATATTAGAGAAAATTTGAAACAAGTAGGTTCAAGGTCAAATTTATTTGTAGCATTTTTTTTGTGGTAAATGAGTGGACTAAATGTCTTGGTTGTAAGCATTGGGTCGTCAAATGGAAGGCCACCCACGGTGACGACTGGAAATGTCAGATTAACCAAAAACACTCTGTTCCTTCTCCAGCTCTGGGCTCAGACCGCGTCACCTTAAGAGAGAAATCAGAATGTCGGCGTCACCTTTAGATTTGGCATCCATAGGTGACGCCGACGTCGACCTGGGCTCACCCAAAGGGGCAAAACAAAAGATGAGAAACTTGCTGTAACGGAGAGATTTGCTTGACAAAAACACGTAGACTTGCGCAACCAAACTGTAGGGAACGATTAGATCCAAAAAACCCCATCCTCAATGAAATAAAGAAAGAAAGAGAGAAAACTGTTTTTATTCGGACTGAGACATGAAGGCCAAGAACAAAAAAAAATGCCCTAACCTGAAATCCCTAATAACAAACAAAAGGCTGGCAACGCGAGGTTCCATGACGGTTTTTGTTTTGTGAGGCGAAAATCATCAAATGACTTCTTCCGCCCAGTGCAGGGCGGGAGCGAGTGTCAGACTCTTACTGACTAAAAAACCCCCCTGTTCCTTCTCCTGCTCTGGGCCGAGGTCGCGGTGCCTCATTGCGCTTACCCCGCAACCCCGGCTGAACATCAGCCCTTTAGGGCCCCGTCTGTGGTGGTCTATTGGCTCTTTGAGGCGCGCGCGGAACGCTACGCGCTGTAGGCTCGGACCTGGTTCTGGTCTGGCGGCGAGCTGCCCTTACTCGCCGACCGCAGACCCGTGCTTACGGTGGCCGGAGATCATTCCTTGATCCCCAACGCCCGTAGTGTCGCCAGTTGCGGCGGCTAGGGCGTGAGGAGGAGGATTGCTCCCTCACGCGGGCCGCCTCTCTCTTTGCGAGCATGACTGCTTCACAAAAGGAGGAGACGGCGTCCCAGTTCCTCTCACTCCGCACCATGGCCTCGACTAAGGCCGGGCGCGAGGAGGTCGCCGCCGCCGATCACTTCCCTGAGAACACGGCGGTGCTCAGCCCAGGCAGAGCATCCCGCGCTATGCTCCACCGTATCCTGTAGGTGGCCCTCATAATGACGACACTCGGGCGTTTCCTCCCGCTGGATCCGAAACAGGAACCTACCGAAGCTGCCGTGCCCGGTAAGCACCTGCGTCAGGCGGAAGGTGAGGACGCCGTGGCGTCTCTCAAGCCACTCCTCAAAGAGGGGTCTTACCGCTGCTAAAGTAGCGTGCCCGGCCCTCGGTTGCGACAGTCGCTGCTTCCACTCAGCCATGAGACCTCGCCGGAGCTCATTCCGCCACGCACTAATTTGGCGCGGCAGAGGATCCTCGCCCCGGCGACGCGCATCTGCACGCAAACTGTAGACCCGCGCGAGCGCCTTCGCTTCCAGATCCCACGGCGGTGATCCGGCAAGGAGGTTCACCGCCTCACCGGAGATCGTCCGATAACCGCGGATTATTCGGCTAGCCATGACCCTCTGGGACGCGACCAGCGTACTAGCCGGCCGCCGCTTCAAGTCCGGCGCCCACATAGGGGCACCGTAGAGGGCCATGGAGCGCACAATCCCCATATACAACCTCCGGCAGGAGGCGTTTGGCCCCCCGAGGTTGGGAAGGAGCCGCTTGAGCGCGGCCTCAGACCGTTCCAACTTAGGAGCCAAACGACGAAAATGCTCCGTGAAGTTCCATCGGCTGTCGAGGACGAGACCCAGGTACTTCATCACCGACTCGACGCCGATGGTAACACCTCCTGCCGTTATTTGGGACCCATCTGGAGGTGGCGCGTTCCGACGGCCATAAAAACACATGGCCTCGGACTTGTGAAGCGCCACCTCGAGTCCCAAGGTTCCATGACGGTGCCGATTGGTTACCATCAGTTTATCCGTCTGTTCGTTTGCCAACCTATCGCATATAAAAAAACTTACTGCCTAAAAACTGTCCCGTTTCTTCTCCTGCTCCAAGCTGCGGTCGCGGTATATTATTATTATTTTGTGTATTCATTTCCACTCACGCGACCACAGGATCACGGACCTCTGGAAGGTGTACGAGGGGCCGAATTCAACGGCCCGTTAAACATTTTTAATTTAGATGTGATGGACAGATGTGACGTCAGACGGCAATTGTTCCTTTATACACTATGAAAGTGCACCCAAGGACAAATCCCAGTTTATGCAGGACTAATATGCAATATGGCAGAAAATCATATGAATATAGGTGTGGGTTGCTATGGATTGGTAGATGTGTTAATTATGGAAAAACCAAGGCCCCTTATTGTTGTTTTTATTGCGCTTGACACAATAAAAACAACAATAAGGGGCCTTGGTTTTTCTCCTTTTTTTTTAGTGTCTTACTTTTTACCACGTAAAAACGAATCGAGTTCCTCATCAATTTGAGTAAAACTCTCAATAATAATAATGAATTGTTTAAGGTTCTTCTCGCCATAAACGAAGGAGTCAACGTGATGGGGTATACGGTCTGGTCTCTGATAGATAGCTTCGAATGGATAACAGGATATCAGTACGTATGAACTCAGTATCCATGTCTAATTACACAAGAATGGTAGGTTTTTTTGAGATATGGTGGCAACGGAGCAGACGGATTACCTGATGGTAAGCAATCGGCGCCGCCCATGAAGACACGCAACACCATAAAAGTTACGAGTGTTGAGTGGTTACGCCTATTTAAGGTTTGGAGGGATAAGAGAACAGGGCGGCAAGTTCCTCATCCTCAATCATCATTGGGGAGGAACTCCGGTAACCTCACTCACATGGCGAAATGTGAAATGAAATGTGTTTATTCGGCACTAGCTACTCTCCATTTAATCTTAGCGTGAAGTTTAATAGCCTATAGCACTCAGGAACATCGTAGCTATGTATCAGTGAAATAATTTTGGCAATCCTGCGGTACCAAAGATCACCCCCCTACATACAAACTACTAATACTAATATTAATATAGACTAGCTTCCGCCAGCGGCTTCGCCCGCGTGCTGTCTTGATGAAAAGCAGCCTATAGCAATAGAACAAAATCGAAGTAGCTATACATAAAATTAGTTATTAATCGTCTCATTTTAATGGGTGAATACCCTAGTACTTACTAAGTGTCCGCCATCCGTCCGTCCATAAATAGAATGGTACGGATCTCACTAATAGGTAGTATTAAAAATATTTCATAAAACCCACTATTATATTATATTTATACCGCGTCGCGTCGAGCGCTGCAACAGTTACACAAAAATAATCCCTATAGCATGATTCAGTTTTCACATGCGACGGCGCGATGGCTTATTATCCGAATTGCTAAGCTATCAGGAGTTACACGTGCTATTGTGAGTTAACCATAAAAGATAGATATATGCCATATAACATTTTTTTGAGATAATTTTTTGTAAAATATTGCCGTCATACATAATTTCTATGTAACTTTAATCATTAAGGCTACACACGCGACGGAAACTTAAAAAAGGGAGTAACTTCGCCCGTTTTCCCAACTTTTCCCTTCACTGCTCTGCTCCTATTATTTGTAGCGTGATGAAAAGTATCCTGTAACCTGCCCAGGAGTATAAAGAATAATTGTACCAAGTTTCATTAAAATCCGTCGAGTAGTTTTTGTTTCTATAAAGAACATACAGACAGACAGACAAAATTTTTACTGATTGCATTTTCTGAGTATCGATCACTTATCACCCCCTGATAGTTATTTTAAAAATGTAGTTAATGTACAGAATTGACCTGTCTACAGATTTATTATAAGTATAGACAAGACAAGTACCTTCTGTTCCCTAAAAAGGCATTGTTCCTGTTAAGAAACTATCAAGTATATATGTTACTATATTAATAATATTATAAATAATTATTATTATCATTTCAGAGTTAAATATGGACTATATAAAGTAGACTTTCAGAACCCATATCGCCTCCGAACTGCACGTGAGTCTGCGTTGTACTACAAAAGCGTTATTCAAAATCGAACAATATTGAATATGGACTAACTAAAACAAATAAACAGAAACACGTAATTTTACTTTTATTTTTTTATGGAGTTATTTATCATAATTATTTTTAAATATTTTTTTTTAAAAAAAAACGTTGCCCCACATTAGGATTTTCTCCTGTGTCGTGGGTGCGGTTACAAACATACAATTTCACATACACATGACACCCAGACCCGGAACAACAATTTGTGGATCACACAAAGAGTTGTTCCGTGCGGGAATCGAACCTGCGACACGTTGCACGGCAGCCAGTTGCCCAGCCACCGCACCAACCGTGCAGTCAAATATTATCTTTATCTTATTATTATTATCTTTATACTATAAACATCTCAGTCACTGCTGATTAATTGCTCAAGGCGGATTGGTGACTTCAAAGTTATAGAAATTACTAGCTACCGCCTGCGGCCCCGCCCGCATGTTATGTTGATAAAAAATAGGTTTCCTCATGATGTTTTCTGAAATTGGTACTTATGGTAAACAGGAATGTGACGTCATCCATCATATACCTATATTTCAGCCGGGGTTGCGGGGTAAGCGCAATGAGTCACCGCGACCTCGGCCCAGAGCGGGAGAAGGAACGGGGTTTTTTAGTCAGTAAGAGTCTGACACTCTCCCCGCCTTAACTGGACGGGAGAGGTCATTTGATGATTGTCCCCTGACAAAAAAAAATCATCATATAATAGTTGTTTCCAACTAGTCAAATTCAATATCAAATCCAAATGTCAAAAACTATACTTTTCTATGAAAATTGTATGAAACATTGAATTATGACGTCATAGCATTTTTGCGTCAAATAGCTTACTTATTTTTAAAAAATTAGCTAAAAGATATCTAAAACTTAGTGTATCGATCGATTGATGAATAAAAGTATAGTTATTTTTCAACATTTTGTTGTATTAAAACGTCGAATTAATTTATTTTTGACCTAGGAAACTACCCAATTGGCTCAAACAGAATATTTTTTTCTTGAAATGTAACCAATAAAAATCTGAAAATAATTATACTGTGAAATCCATCAATGAAGTACGATATTTTTAAATATTTTATTGTATTTAAATCTTGAAGTAATTTATTTTTGGCTGAAGAACATACCCAATTTTCGTAGGTTGTAGAGATATCAATCTGAAAGCATATTGGTAGTTGACACGTCACTTCCGGGATTGTTGGGAAAGTAATATTTGTGAGAACCACGGGTGAGAACAAACGGTGTTATGTTAATAAGAGTGTTGCTGTAGATAAAAGTGTGTGGAATATTCTGCGTAGT